CGAAACTGCAGTCCACCCTGGATGAGAACAACTTTTGGGAAAGCAAGGCTATGTGAAATTTAATGGAAACCTCAACTTTACTCATATCGCCTTAAACCAAATAGGGTGAATAAATCCCATATGCTTACTTATTGTCTGTTCTTGTGTTCAGATTGGGCCGCGGTCTCATTCAGTTCCTTTTTGACTTGCTGGTTTGTCTGCTAAAAAGGTTACATCAACTTGAGTCCTTATCCGCAGTACAAAGGTTACACCTATTCTGGGCAGAATTTTAAAAGATCATCCTATCCTATCCACAGGATCGGAGTACTGCTCTAGGGAGTATACTGCTTTCGACCCAACTCTCATGTCAGCTTGTGATGCGAGCTGTCATGTATTTCAGATATCGTCCTTTCCCAAAACCGATTTACATTGGCTTCTTACTTTTAGCATACATTCCCTAAACCCACTCCTGATGGACCTAGCTAAATTGTACTACTCATTACGACACTAGTAATACGATTATTATTATTATTAGATTTATTTGATGTGCAAGTCGGGTAGCTTGGCGGAGGCCTCCTGTGTAGGTACTGAAAGGGAGAATTTGCCTTCCAGCTAAAGTTCTGTGCCGAAGTTACTCAAGCAGACTCTAATAGTGCATCTTTTTGCATTTCGTCAAGGAAGTCCAATTCACCAACTCTCTCCGGCTTGAGAAGTTGGCTGGGCAGCACACCAAAATTCCTTAAAATAGGTCAAAAGGTACATTCAGAATCTAGCTGACCAGTCCCTAATTGAAGTGCTCTCGTCCTAAGTGACAATCAGCTACTCCTTTTGGCGGAAAGATTTGTTGCTGTATCACAGCGAGGTCTTTATTAAGTGGCTGGAAATCATTAGAACTTCTGAGCCAACTCAAGACTATCTAAGCCTAAATAGACAAAAAGCGGAGTATTGTGCAGCGTTGACAGTAATGACAGCATAACACGGATTCCTCCATCGCCTCTTCCACCTAGAACACGAGATGTGAAGGTAGACTACAAGAATAAAATTTTTTGTATGATGGCAAGAGGTAAACATGAAAACATATCATATCTCATAACAAATTCACATAGTCGTGCGAACGTGCGTGAAGAAAAGATTCGAAGGTCGCTATCACCAGAGGAGGGCGGCTGAGTCGCGTTGTACTGCAGCCGTTTGGCTTTTATACGACGTTCAGGTTGTCGCAGTCCACGAGAACTCCTCCCTCGTTTCGGGTGAAAACGGGCTGAGCTTTCGTTCATCATATGATGCACATCATCAGAGCTGGAGTTCATTCTTGCAAAAGTCTCAATATAACGAGATTCAGCCATCCTTTCTGGTGAGATCGACCTTCTAATCCCTTCTGCATGCACTTTCATACAAGATGAAAGTTTACCCAGCAATGCTATCTCAGGAGATTCGTTGAAGCCCAGTCACTATTCGTATCTGCAAATTCACATAATTCGTGTGGAATCCTATATCGCTAGACAGCATTGTATTTCCGCTGGCCAAACCGATGTGCTACCACTTTTGCAGGTGGTAATAGTTTCATTTTTCGCTTATGCGTAGGGCTCATAGACTTCCAGTAAATTAATTAGATGAACTGCATTGGCTCTATTTCGCTTAAGGTGATGAAGGACTGGTAGTTGAGTTTTCCCACAATTATATGAATAGAGCAGACGCTCATCCCATTGGCCTTGCTTTCTCAGAAGGTGTTCTCATCCAGAATGGACTATATCCTTGACCTCGCCTAGGTCTAACCAACCTTCCCTGTGGTAGTCAAGGCTATGTTTTATTCAACGGAAGCGTCAGCGCTACTCGTATTATTGTTGGAACATTCAACCACCAGTCCTTCATCACTTTAAACGAAATTGGATGAATGCATATCATTTGTCAGTTATCAGAAGCTCGGCCATGATGAGCTCAAGAGCCTGCGCGCAAAATTAGCGTCGTAGGCATGCTGATGGAAGCAAATAGAATGGATTCATGATTTTACCTTTCCTAAAGCCAAAGAAGGATGCTTCCTTGGAGTTGTGAATATAGATTTGTCCTTGGTGCAACATCCCGTGACCCCAATGAATCCGTGTAGACGTTTGTCCAGTGACAGACATCGTGAGAGTAGCAAAACATGCTTTACGAAAATTCACAGAGAATCAAGACCTAGACTATCTTTCGGTAAGCCTATCCCATCTTATGCAATGAAATGAAAGGTGCGCGAGTCTGGCTATGCTTCATGGGCCGACTCAAGGCTTCGGGGTCCGTCTTCTGACTCGAGGCAGCTTCCTCATGGTCCATGGTACCATGGCAGATGATCTCCGAAGTCGACTGAGGGCTGGTCTGTCAGGCGGATTTGCCGTGAATCTCAGCATTTTGCAAGAGCTCACCTGATAATTTCTCAAAATGCATCTTTATCTCGGCTGAATGGGATACATCAAAGTGTGAAGACGCCTCTCAGATTTCGAGGAAAATGGTGCCCTCCTCCTCGTCCATGGAACATCCGCGGACATTTTGGGCAGACTGGCAGGCTAGGTCCACATCTCTTTATTTTTTCCCGTAAAAGTGTATCCGCTGTCTGGAAATGCTGGCAGGCCTCAGTTTTGGGACGTTGTCAAACAGACAGTAGCTCTCGGTCAGACAATGCACCATTCAGGGCAAGATGAAACTGTGTGTCCTAAATGCAGGGCGTCTGGTCGACGTCTCGCCTTGTCATGACTGAAAGTTGGCTCCTATCTCCCATTCCTTCTGTTCTGGGATCGGTGC